ACACGAACGTACGTAACGTACGTACGTAACTAACTAACTACTACTACTACACACACACACACACACACACACACACACACACACACACACACACACACACACACACACACACACACACACACACACACACACACACACACACACACACTACATGATTTGTTATTTACAGTTTGTATTAACAAATTTTAATTTTTTTTTAAGCACTTTCAATTTATACAAATATTTGTTTGAATTTTACTGTTGATATTTTCATTAAATGTTTTTTGATTTGTCCCAACAGCTGCACTAGTGGTGATTACACACTGTCATAGCAATACAAGTAGAATAACAAGTAACTGTGTATTAGTAACACTTAACAAATTCTGCACGACTAAGAAAACTGGAATTTATAATCAAATCACTGATAAATATCAGTTTGTCCTTTAACAAAATATAGATTTCAAACTTAAAATTATTGTTAGCTAACTAACCTACAATTATTAGTATAAGATTATGACTTCATGTTACTTGTTTTGTATGTTTGAAATTATTTTAATATTTCTTTACGTGATTTCTAGGATTGGGACCAGCCAGAATATACCCCAGATCCTGATGCCACAAAGCCAGAAGATTGGGATGATGAGATGGATGGTGAGTGGGAACCACCAATGATAAATAACCCAGCTTATAAGGGTGAGTGGAAACCACGACAGATTGATAACCCTAATTACAAGGGACAGTGGATCCATCCTGAAATAGATAATCCAGAATACACTTCCGATTCCAAGCTCTATAGGTACACGGAGATCTGTGCTGTTGGGATCGATTTATGGCAGGTGAATTGGAGTTTTTTGAAACTTTGTTTTGGAAATAAGCACCATAAATGTTAATATATTATGTCTAAACAAATAAATTATTTATTATGCAAGTTGTTAAGCCTAAATCTTGTTTTTACATGGTATTTAGTGTTTCTGTATTATCAATTTTCTTTTTAATTTCTTTGTTCTTGGCTTTTTATCAAAGAATTAAGTGGAGGAGGGGGAATGGATTGGTAGTGCAATAACTTTGTTTATAAACCAGTTCAATAAATCAAAGTTGGATAAGCTTTGTCCCAAATGAATGTAGTTAAGGAATGTTTTCATTCTTTGTTTGTGTTCTGACAATCGGCTGTTTTCTGTTGAGTACAAGTAAACATCTGGTACTTTTACGCACATGAGGTGTAGATTAGGCCTGTGTTAGAACTCGGATCCGATGAACTGGATTAAAAAAATGTACGATGTAGCAAAGTATACCCTGCACTTTAAGCAGTCTGAGCATTATAAGAGTAACAGTCAGTTCCTTGAAGTAGGCGATAGGGTGCTATTAAATTGCTGCTTTCTTTCTGGTCAGTAGTTTAAAATTTGGGACGATGGCAAGTGGCCATAAATGGAAATTCCAAAGTAGAAAAAGAACAAAAAAATACTTCAGTTTTTAGTTCTAAAATTAGCATGTATTAGCTGTAAATGGTACTGGCTATGTATTTTAATCTTAGCTTTGTGATGTATGTATTGTTATCATTGAAGGTTTGGTCAACCTGTTCGTGGTGTTTTTCTTTCTTTTTATGTAAGATTTTCATGAATTATCTCCTGTTCTTTGTATTGTTTTGAGTTCTTTTAAATCCATAAGAAGTATCCATTTTATCTTTTTACAACTTGGAATATTTTAACATCATGACAGTTAGGTGCTTAACCCATTAACTGTGGCTGTTTTAAACAGTTGCAGGATATTTGCAAGTCGTGCTACGTATACGGCACACTCGCATTCAACTGCCATAGGAGGACTGTACTTTGTACGTTGAATTGGCAGTCAATGGGTTATACTTTGACCTAATAATGGTCACTATGTGTTTTTTCTACTATCTCCTGTGAACTAAAGTGTGTGGTTGTGTGTTTGTGTGTGTGTATAATAGTTTGTAAGTAGTTTGTTTACTGATGTAATGGATATTATGTACAACGATTGTCTTCATTTTTAAAGAATATCTAGGTAGGATAAAGTTTATTTCTTCAAGAATACTCATTAATTATCATAATTTAGGACTCATTTTTATGTTGACAAATAGTGTAACACTCTTATTTGACCATTGTAGGTGAAATCTGGTTCAATTTTTGATGACGTACTTGTTACTGACGACCCAGAATATGCGAAGACGTTTGCAGAAGAAACATGGGGAGCTACAAAGGTGAATTATTTGTGTGTAATTTTATTCAACTTGGTTTGTTATTATACTGTATTTCATAAACTATTAATAATTTGCTCTTTTTGAATTGTTTCTCAGTGGGATAGCAGTAAGTCTATGTACTTACAATCTGAGGTTTATTTTCCTGTAGTTGAGACATCAGATAACCCATTATGGATATGGGTTTATTTACATTTCAGAAATTTTTACATGTCATTTACATAAACACAGGTTTTAATTAATAGCCAGACACAGATGTTTTAACTGAAGTTTTTATTTTCATTATAAATTCTTTGATTTATAAATCCCAATATTCTTTAATACTAAGTTTAAGGACCTACTTTTATCTTCTAGTGAGACCATTTCTGTAACTTATTTCATTGTGATAGGATATTCTAAAAAAAAGAATCTGTGTGTGTACTGTGAATGACTGCTATGTTAATAATTTTAAATTCCTTGCTGCTTTTATAACTGGTTCCATAAAGTTGTAAATGAATAATATTTGTAAATACTTACTACTGGGGAAATATTCAACTTAACTTTTCTGTTATGTTGGTTTTCTTTCTCAACTCTAGTTGCTATAAATTTATAGAACTTTGGTATGTGATTAGCCATGAAGTTTGGTCAAGATGTGGAGTAGTTTAAAAATATGACCATTGAACTAAAACCCAACTGTCACATAATGTAGTATGTGATGTAGAGTTTTTGGAAGGTAAATAATTTTAATAAGAAATTGATTATAAGAATTAAAAAAAAATATTTTGTATGAATTTAGAAGCTTGATATTATATTTTTGGTACAAAGTTAATTATTAATAAATTAAACTAACAATTAGGAGGCTGAGAAGAAAATGAAAGATAGCCAAGATGAGGAAGAAAGGAAGAAAGCTGAAGAAGAAGCCAAACAGACTAAGGAAAAGGAGGAGGATGAAGAGGAAGAGGATGAAAATGAGGAGGAAGGAGAAGAGACTTCAGAGACAACTGAGGTACACATCCATCTTTGTTATTAAATATATACCGATTATTTAATTATTCCCTAAAGTATTTATTCTCAGAAGTTCTGTTTTTAAGTCACTGGTTTTAATCTTGCACATGTTCCTAGTGTAATATTAAAGTTGGTTGTTTCATTTTTAAGTTGTTGCTATTCTTAGCAAAAGTTGTAAGCCTACTTTTGATAAAATATACACTGTCAAATTTCTTAGATCAAATCTTCACTACTATTATATAAACTTCTTTATGGGCTCGTGATTTTAGAATGGAGAAATCTACAAGGCCAACTTGTATTTCCATGCTTCCAAGTTGAGTAATTATCTATAATGCTAATCTTTTTTTGTGAAATGTTACCAAAGTAACAAAGCTAATAATTTGACTTTTTTTGTTTTATGATCATCTTGGTCATGGTAGTATTAATACAAAATTCCATGTTTATACAATGCCCTGACTTATTTCTGAGTTTACAATTTAATTTTTTAAATGCTGTTTAATGATTATTTTGAGGAGATTATTTATCAATTTTCTTTTCTTTTCTAGGAACCTCACGAACATGAAGAGTTGTAATGTACTAGTGTTATTTTCATTCATTTTCCTTTGCTGTACATAAAGTCCAAGTCAGGCAGAGCACAGAATTATGAAGCTTTTTTTATTTTTCATACAGTGAATACTATTTATCGGTCATTGACAGTCACTATTACAGTATAGGGATGCACAGGTTGTTCTGTCAGAAATGAAAGTTGTACATGATACGTTAATAAACAAGTTGGTTGTCTCTTGTTTCTTAGTTTCTGTATTGGAAATAACAATAGAAATTAACGAGCCAGCCTGGTATCTCGATGTGGATCCAAAATAATGAGTCATTCCAGAAAGGTTTGGGTTGTTTTGATTAGACAAAAAAAGAAAAGACATTTGGCACTATTTTCAAGGTCAAGGTCACTGGACCAGACCTGTGACTTGACCCGAGATCGTGAGAATCAACATGGAGAAGTAAACTTGTAAATTTAAAGTAAAACGATGCAATGAAATGTGCTTGAAATGTTCTAGATGTGGTTGTGAATGTGATGCTTTAAGTGTAGTGATTAGGCTTAACCGTGGGTCCAGTTTAGATGAGGGAAAACTGTTCAATGATATCCCAATTGATTTGACGTACCAGCTGAATCCGAGATTCGTCAATTAATTACTGCATTGTCGTCAAAACATAAAACAATGGTCACAATAGTATTGTTAATTTAAAGGGGGGGGGGGGGATTGGAATCGTATATACGAAACCATTGGCTTCAATACTTTGTGAAACTAATGGTGCAAACAAAGTAAAACCCAAAGATGCAGTATTGAAGTTGATGCATTACAAGATGATTTCCCAGCAATTCTCAAATTAAAAATTCTATTTCTGAAATGAAGAGTAAATATAAGAAGGGTGATATAATGCCCAGTTGTAGAAATCTATTGAAATAACCGTAAATTACCAGTTTCTGGAATGACCTGCCCCACCCGTTGATCATCTTAGGCTTAGTACTAAACGATGCAGAGCTGGCTAGCGTGGCAAGTGTTTTTTTTAAAACAGATGCCTAAACATTTTATCAGTATAAAAGAAAGTGGGTATATGAACAGGAAGATGACAGATATTAATAAGTAATTATGTCCAAAACATGTGCATTGACATATTTGTTACAGCTAAGGATGAAATAGTTTTCGTTGGAAGTAATACTAAATGGGAATTGTTATAAACATTGCTATAATTTGAAGACTTTAGGGCAGATAACCAACAAATTGTTAGACCCATATCTGAAAGGAAGAAAATCTTATTAAATCTTCACCTAGTTATGACTTGTACCTTTATTCTGGATGGTATGATTAATCTAGCATCTTACAGTAGATTGGCATCCATGAATCAGTGTTTTATCACTGTGTGCCATCTTGTCCTGAGCGCTGAAATACTGAAAAAAAAAAAGATACGTTAAATATAGTAACAATCCACTTCGAACTTCTAAGATCCTATTTTTCTCCTCTCCTTATACTTTTATTTGATATTTCATTCTTCGGTGAATGGCTGATGTTGTCAAAGTTTATCAGAAATCTTTATTTTTGTTATCAAACACAAAAATATTTGTTGAAATAGGCATTTAGTTCTATCATAAAACAATTTATTGGCTTGAGTATTTAAATTTCATTACAGGTCAAAAACATTGTTGTAAAACTTCAGATGGACTGATTTTATTACATAAACCTAAATCACTCTTGTACCTGTTTCAATAGAGCTGATCCAGCTTTCTGATATTATCGATATTTATTTGTTTTTGTTGAAATAAGTATTTTTAAAAGCAGGCTACTACCCACAAACTTGTATATCGGCACTAATAAAAAATACTAATCATTATTGAGAAGGAGTTAGGTTTACACAAAAACGATTTTTTTATCGTGTAATTGTTCACCCCTCCGTATTATTTAACGCTCAATTTGTTTTACTACGAAATTCCAGTTTTCTTCATTCAATACAAGTGTTAACCATTTATTCATGGAATGTATAAAAATTATGGATTTGTTTTCTATACCATTTACTACTGGTGCGGAATTATGTATTACATAACATTGAGCTATTTTGTTTTTCTTGCTACTAAGTAGAATGTAAAGAACTGCCCAAAAACTAATTACGTGAAAGCGTATAAAATATTTGTAGACCCGACTAGTAAACGTTAGGATTAAACGTGATAGATTATTTGCTGTTTATTAAAATTAGTTAATAGTTACATTTCTGGCTACTAGATAGCACTACTAGTGAAATGTTTGGCCAAGCTTTATAGTCTTCGTAATCTATTATTTTATAATCCATAACAAGAACAGAACACATGGCTTTAAAAAAAGTCGACTTATTTCAATGCTATTTTTTTATAGGTGTGTTGTTATCCAAAATAGATAATGTTTTTAAGTAGGGTTAATACTGTTTGAAACAATGAATTTAACCCTGAATCCACTGTCAATAAGTAAGCTATAGCGATAATTATTGAGATTAAAAAAAGGGGAGGGGTATTATCTATAGTCATATTAAAGCAGATGTGCCGGCTGTTTGTATTGAATAAATGTTAGTATGGATAGCAAGTACTTGTATACAGGACTAGGCTGTTCGTGTTTATTAAACTTTAGTATGGATAGGCAAGTACTTGTATACTGGACTAGGCTGTTCGTGTTTATTAAACTTTAGTATGGATAGCAAGTACTTGTATACAGGACTAGGCTGTTCGTGTTTATTAAACTTTAGTATGGATAGCAAGTACGTGTATACAGGACTAGTATGTTTGTGTTTCGTAAGTGATAACTACGGTGGCTACAGTGCAGATACACCATTATGTAGTTGTTCAAACGGATGATATGATTCTAGCAGTTCAGGAATTAACCTCATTTGTAAGTGTCGTAATATTGACAGGCCTGAAGGAGGTTGGAGATTCTATAAGATGAGAGTGATTGTTAACTTCAGCCTGAGTAGCACGTTATGCTATACATGAACAGATACGCCATATTTGAGGTACAGCCATCCCTAATTTAGAACTGCGGACCACAAGGAGGGCAACCAATGAGCAGCACCCATAGCGTATGTGGGTAATCTTACGAGGTTAAGTGTCATGGCGTGTTGACAACAGCCTTGCAGCATAGATTTCATTTATAACGGTTCCGTCGTAAGACTGTCACGTCCAAAGCACACCATTTTTTTCCTATTGGTTTCCATAATCCATCTAGTGAAGGAGGACGGCGGTTTCCCAGCGACCATTTCAAAAGTGATGCATAAAAATCTATAGGCTCTGTATCTGGCAACGTAACCAGTATCTCTTCAAATGGAACTCTATAAATATTCATTTTCCAGCTCCATGTGGTATGTGAAGGTTTAACAAATATGTTGTGGAAACAACTTCTGGACATGTAACTTGTGTCCTTTTACAGAAAACCTTCTTAATTATGCTGCTACTGACTTGTGTTAATGGATTCTCACCTGTTACAAAACGCCGCATATTACTTACTGCGGCTGGGCGTACACCATTATTGCCATTCTCTTTTCAGATGGTCCTGGGTCCCCACGTTCATTCATTTTCCCATATTTTCCAATGGCATACAGAACAATGGATATCTTTGTTTTGAAAAATTCAAAATCCTTGGTCTGATTATTTGAATATTTTGCTTCTGAAAGGGCTGTTACATACCCTTCCATCAAATGATCATTTTTTTTGGTGGCATCCCAATACCTACGAAATTCCGAACAATGTAAACATGTAGTTTTGATATATGCCGTTCCATCACGACTTTATATCGGCTATAGTTGTCTCATGACTTGATGATTCTGCTTATTCAAAATCGCTTTAATATAACGTTCTCAACCATCTATATTACATTTAACCTTTCTTTGAAATTTCACTTGTAGAGAAAAAATTCTAAAGGATAAGACATAAATTTTCGGACACGTAAACTACCTTTCACTGTCTCTAGTAGTTCCTCCCATTGAAAATAGTGTAGAAATAGAAATAACGAAACACTTTACTGAAGAATGAGGGTAAAAATGAAACATCTCGTACAGCTGTCTTTATTGTAATCAAAATCCTTAATTATTTTACTGCCAAGTTCATAGACAAGTAACTCTACAGTGGCAGAATTATTCTTAACATTAAACACAGAAACATTCGTATTGTTGTATAATTAACAGTCTTTTGCTTTAAACTCCCCCATATCAACATCAAAATAGTTTTTAAGAGAGAATTATTTGAAATATTTCACGGATTGTTATGTTATCAAATTGTAAAAACTAAGTAGAATAATTATCCGTGTATTTATTTCCAAAATTGCCAAGTCTGAAGGTTTATTACGCTAAAAACCGGGTTTCAATACCAGTGGCGGGCACAGCACAGATAGCCTATTGTGTAGCTTTGTGCTTAGCTATAAACAAACAAAAAGCTCCCCCAATTGGTCAACGGTAAGTTTATGGACTTACGACGCTGAAGTTTGGGGCTCGATTCCTCGTGGTGGACAGAACGCAGATAGCCTATTGTCTGGCTTTGCACTAAAAAAAAAGTCAAAAAAAGGAAAAGGGTTATATAATGTGTACCACATATGTGTCCATGACAGTGAAAGAGTTTGTACCACATATGTGTCCATGACAGTGAAAGAATTTGTACCACATATGTGTCCATAACAGTGAAAGAGTTTGTACCACATATGTGTCCATGACAGTGAAAGAGTTTGTACCACATATGTGTCCATAACAGTGAAAGAGTTTGTACCACATATGTGTCCATAACAGTGAATAAATTTGTACCACATATGTGTCCATGACAGTGAAAGAGTTTGTACCATATATGTACCTATGGTAGTGAATAAATTTGTACCACATATGTGTCCATGACCGTGAAAGAGTTTGTACCACATATGCGTCCATGACAGTGAAAGAGTTAAGAAATTATTAATTTCGTCTATAAAAATAAGATTAGTTCTAGTATTGATAGATAGGTTATATTTGTTAGACACCTAGGAATAGGACGAACTTTTCAAAATTCTATTATGGTTTAGTTTATTTGTTTTATCTAAACGTTCCTTCAGTAAATTAATATATTAGTTTGTTTGTTTTAGAGCAAACCACATTAAGCTATCTGCTGTGTCTACTGCGGGAATCGAAACCCGCATTGTAGCGTTGTAAGGCCGTACAGTTGCTACTGTCTCGCCGGAGGACTAGTTTATTAGTTGTGGTACGTTACACGCTCTAGTGTGACGTGACGATTCAATAAGATTATAATTAAACT